ATACATATAATCTCAATTATAACATATAAATTATGTACTATATGATTCATGTATACAAATACATATAAATACACAATCCTAAATTGTATATGAATATCATTTTGTCTTACAAATCATTTAGTGTGCTCTGCCTCATGGAAGACTTTTTCTTCCTCTGTCAGCTTTACTTTGTTGCCTGTTGTAGATGTTACTAACCGTCTTATTAAATAAGAAACACAGAGCTGATTCAGAGAAGAAAGCCAAGAGGTCAGAGCTAAGAGCGTTACCCTTCCTGCTTCAGCCAAGAGCTCTCCGAAAAAGGAGCTACTTCCTGTCTGTCCGTCTTTATATAGACTGTCTGTTCTGCCTTCTTATTGGTTGTAAACCCAAACATATCATGCCAGAATAAAAGATCTATCTTCTGCTATGGGACAGGAGAAAAGCCAAATTAATTAAGGGACTATTTTATTACTAATTTCAACTCTTTGATTCTATTCTGATTCTTTAAACTTTTCTTAAAGTATAAATATTATATCAAAATTTACAAGATTAATATATATATATAGATATATAGATATATATACATTTTAAACTTTGTTAAGATATGAATGGTCGTATAGAGTACTAACTAATTCTAGAAAAAAGGCTTCCATTAGTTGCATACATATGTCTTTGTGTTCGAGTCTCTTATCAGTTTTCTGCAGGAAATCACGGCCAGGCCTAACATCAACTGAAGTCTCCAGGAAGAAGATGGGGCCCCACAACAACAATAATTCCACATGGACAATAATAACATCACTAAGCTGACAAACATCATCTACAGATCAGCTTTGAACTACAAGGTGCTCAGAGTAATTTCGAGATGACTAGCTGAGATGATCCAGTCTCAAAGACTACTTGAATAAAGACGTAAGATAAATCCTGAACTTTGGCATTATACAAAGAATGGATAATGAAGGATATAGTTACCTTTTTTAGAATTTGACAATTAATCTAAAATTTTTCTTTCAGGATAAAGATACCTTCGCCCATACCCAGCAGGAAGAAATTTTAAGAATATGATGCCCACATTCCCAAAGAGGTGGTGTGAGGCAGGTGGTTTTTTTGGTCTTTTTAATGGGTTTTGGGTCCGGGATAATTTTCATTGTTTAGGGGGGTTGGTTACAAGTTGTTGTCAAGGGTTAGGAAAAAGGCTAAGCAAAGGAGATTAGATTTAAAAAAAAGAGAAAGAAAGAAAAAAAAAGACAATTACTAGTTTCAAATACTTTTCATTGGATTGGATTTTTTATATTGTATACAAATTATATATATTGAAATTGATATTGTTAGAAAATGCTATATGTATATTTCTAATTGTACTTATACCGTTCATTTAACAATGCAATTTTCTGATCCTTGAATGTTATTATTACCAACTATTAGGATATAAAGAAATGAAAGTTAGTAGTTAGACATTACAATAGAACTTGTAGTCATTAGATATGTTTTCAAAATTGAGCAGATATATTTTAGACAGGTCATCTTCAAACCCTTCAGAGATCTACAGAATATGGCATTTAAAATGTTTTAATTACTTAGAATTTTTTTCTTTTTTGTTATGACTATGAGACATGTCGGCTCCTGGCAGTACCAATCTGCTTCAGAGAAAATATTGAAGAAACTGCATATGGAGTTAACTTTCATTGTGGCAAAAGTTAGCCACTGTACAACAAAGTATCCTCGAATCAACAGGACAAAATGGACAGACAGGACATGAAACAAAGGACTACTGATTCTTGCCTAAACAAGCATGGTTATGGCTTTATCAAAAGGCATCTTCTGAGACCAGGGCAATATGGCACCATCCCTGAAGTGGCCTTCACAATTCGGAAAAGTTACAGTGCCCTTTTCTTTGAAGGCAGCTTAACAGGCAGTGGGTCGATGGCTTCTGATGTGCTATGGAACAGCAGCTGAAACAGTTATTCTTGAAGAGTAACTAAGCTCACACCTCTCGATAGTAGACTGGCATTTGATAGAGGGATGTGGAGAAGAATGGGATGCTGAGATGAAGCCATATATACACAGTCAAGAAGAATGGACAGCTGAATTAAAAAACCATCAACAATTTCCAGAATTTAAAATCCTAAATTTGACACTAGTGGAATTCAGGTGTTTCTGGTACATGGACTGCTCTCACCCAATGTGAGGTTGAACTGTTGACCCTGTTTACATCCTACTTCACAAATGTGTCTGTCAGATACGCTAAGCCTATAGGCTGAAGATGATGCCCCAGCACTTCGGAGAAACCTCAGGTGACTGTCCAGGCAGCTGGCTGTTTCTGTCAACTCACAAATTTTTTTGGAAGTTGCTTGCATGCACTTTCTGTTTTTATTTTTCTTAGGTAATATTATTTCCTTCTTGTGTCTCTGAGGGAGTTGAAGATTAGTTAGTTATAGTTGAAGATTAATTAGGATAGAAAGTGAATTAGATACATTTTGAACTTACCAAAATAGAATAGATAATGAAATTATTTTCTCTGAATTTGTCAAATACAAATGGACTAGACATTGTTTAGATATTTATTACTTATATATATTGTATATAGTTATTGTACTTTTGTATATAGTTTTTCTTTTGTTAGTTATAACCTTTTTTTTCCTTTTTATTAAAATAGAAAAGGGGAAATGTGGTAGTATTTTACTTGTACTGAAATGTCATTTTAATTGTATGTTAATAAATAAAGTTGCCTGGGGGTCAAAGCTTAGAGCCATAGCAAGTGCGTGGCACCGGTGGCGCACGCCTTTAATCTCATTACCATAGAGGACCTGGAGGGCTGTACATGCATGCAGTGACGAGGCAGTCACGTATTTGGGTTTACAATCAATGAGAAGGCAGAACAGCTAGACTATATAAAGACATACACACAGGAAGTAGGTCCCTTCTTTTCGGAGAGCCCTTTGGCTGAAGCAGGAAAGGAAAGGCTCTTAGTTCTGACCTCTTGGCTTTCTTCTCTGAATTGGCTCTGTGTTTCTTATTTAATAAGACGGTTGGTTACATCTACACCCTGTAATCCTTGTATGGCTGAGGTCTAACGAGGTTTGCCATTCACATCTGCATGCCTATTGCTGTGTTCCTAATTTAGCTCACATTTATGAAGTCATGTTGATCAGACATTATGTGTCTTTATGGATAATGTATATATTCCTAAGAGACATAATCTCACAACACACTCACAGGTCCTCAGGCACTTAGATTCTTTCTGTTCCATCTTCATCAATGAAACCTGAACCTTAGGGGAGTATTTACTGTAAATGTATCAATTGGAACTGGGATCCACAATTATTCAATTTGATTGCTTGTGGCCTTGTATAATTGTATGCATCTGTTTCAATATGCCATATCCTTAAAGAGATCTGAAGAATAGACTTAATTGTAGGTATGAGAACAAATATTTAGAATGTTTAGGGACTATGCTATTTTAGTAAAGTGGCAGTTATAGCTTCTCCTCTGAGATCCAAGACTTCACTAGTTCTTGGTTGTTGCTTTGGTTTCCATAACTAGGGTTGGTTTTCCTTTTGAGAAGTAGTAAATATGTTCGAGTATAGCTAACAATAGCATTTGTGAAACCTCCTAGCCTAGTATATAGACATAAGAGCAAAAGAGTCACCATAGCTAGGACAAAACTCACAGTAGTAAAAGTCTAACAATGTTATACAATTTTGCTTCTATTTAATGATGTGGAAATAGAAAATATTTTACTTCATATATTGAATGTATTTGTATGAAATGGTGATAAATTCTGGAGAAATATGTAACAGTAAAGTGGCATGTTGTAACCTATTCATGATTTTAAATGAGGAGTATATACTAATTCAAGGAAAAGCAGTTAATTGGAAGAAGCATTCAGATAAATGATGTGCAAATGCGCAGAACAAAAGGGAACTGGGGGTAGTCAGCTGGAGTTAAAACAGGTGGAAATGCGACATACCTCATATGAGGGCAATAAGGGATCCATGTAGTTAGACATGGTTACTTGTTCTGATTGACTGACATTTGAAATTGGGAAATAAAATATAATTCATAGTAAGTCTACATTCTAACTTAGCTTGCAAAATATTATTCAATGACTGATGAAGTCTTATGTTCATAGAAGATTATATTTACATTTTGAAAATGCCATAATCTTCAGTATAATTACATAAACTTGAATGAAATCATGATAATTTAGTGAAGGGCCTTCACACCTTATGAAACAGATGGATATTCTTGTACAAATCTGGTATATTAAAAGTTGAATATAAAATAAAATTTTGATCTATATATTTTACCACAGCTATTGAAAGACAAGATAAAATTTTACTAGGAAACACTTTCAAAATTTAAAACAACATGTGATGAGTACAATTGAAAAAGAGAATATACTTGATGCTTTCAAGCAATTTAAATCAATAACATGAATCTTACAGTCTATATTATAGAAGAATATGGTGGGGTGGTGGGACTGGCCATCTTTAATCCCAGAAGAGGTGTTGTGAGGCTGTCCATCTCAGATGAGCAGAGGCAGATGTAGGTAGAACTCTATGCGTTCAAAGTATCATGATATTCACAGAAGGTTTCAGACAAGCCCAGATACATACTGAGTCCTGTCCTTATGAAAATGCAACCTGGATTTCAATAGGTCCAGTATAAAGAGGCTCTAGTTCAATTGGATGACTGTAGACAGAAATTTTCCTGTAAGCAGATGATGTAAAAGCACAAAGAATCGCCCGGGCGGTGTTGGCGCACGCCTTTAATCCCAGCACTCGGGAGGCAGAGCCAGGTGGATCTCTGTGAGTTCGAGGCCAGCCTGGGCTACCAAGCGAGTCCCAGGAAAGGCGCAAAGCTACACAGAGAAACCCTGTCTCGAAAAAACGAAATAAAAAAAAAAAGCACAAAGAATCAAACCCACACTCTAATTGCATAACACATATTTGCAGTAGAGATCAACTGGACCTCATCTTTGAAATTCATGTTTTAATATGAGAACTGTGTTGAGTTTTGAACTAGGTTTTGAGAGGGTTATTCCTTCTAGAATGTGGCTTGTTCCTGATATGATGAATTGAGTTCTTATCTGGCCTTATTAAGATAATATAGCACTTAGGGGCAAAAATGAAGCCGAGGAGGGCTGCACTAGAAGCCAAGATAGAGAAGACTTCCATAGCCACCATGACCTTCCCCTTGGTGCTGTGGTAGACAGGGAGGAATGTGATCCACACACAGAAGAACACCAGCATGCTGAATGACAGGAACTTGGCTTCATTGAATGTGTCAGGCAGATTCCGTGACATGAAAGCCATCGTAAAACTCCCAATTGCCAAGGAGCAGAGATATGCCAGTATACCATGGAAGGCGAAATCTGAGCCCTTGTTACACACAAGGATGATATGTCCATGTTCAGCATGAACATCTTGGTCAAGGAAGGGAGGAGAGGTCCCTAGCCATATTCCACAGAGGACTAGGTGGATCAGAGTACATATGGGGATGATGAAGTTCGGAGCCTTTGATATTATTAACCACCTCACCACTCTCCTTGGAAAAGTAACCTTGAAGGCAATAACCACAGTGATAGCTTTGGCCAACACAGCGGCAAGAGCTACAGTGAAAGCACCTCCAAATGTGATCTGCTGCAGGATACAGGTTGCAGTATTGGGATGGCCAATGAAGAGCAAGGCACATAGGAAACAGACAGTGAGTGTGATAAGCAATGTGTAACTAAGGGTCCTATTATTAGCTTTGACAATTGGAGTGTCTCTGTGCTTCACAAAGAGTCCAAGAACCACAGTCGTGAGTACAGAGAAGCACAGAGCTATGGTTGTGAGAGACATCCCCAAGGGGTCCTCATGGTTAAGAAAACTCACAGCTTTCTGGAGGCAGTGTTTCTTCTCTGTGTCTGCATAATGACTCTCTGGACACTTCATGCAATTTTCCATATCTGATCAGAAATGAGGTGAGATTTAATCCAAGCTGAAGTTATTCCTTTTATTCTCAGCCATTTCTCTGTACTTTTTGACAGAACTGCTATCTACATCACTTTCTTTTTTCTCAGGGAGAAAGAAACACAAACTGTAGTGAACATTTTCATATTTATACTACTCAACTTCCTTATCTGATATTTCAGTTATTATTTATGTGAAGTTATAAAGTATGTTGATCCAACTCAGCCCTCTTTCCTCTTGCTACATTGCTCAACATCTCCCTCTTTTAGTTCCCAACTTATTGTGCTCTCTTATCTCACCTTTTACATTTTAATACTCACTGAGTCTATTCAGTGCAGCTAGTATTTACATATTATGGAGGCATCACCTGGAATATGGGCAACATTTCAGAGTCCACAACCTTAAAGAAAAAGTGATGTTCCTCTTTTGGTAGTAGTTATCAATTACTAGTAGCTTCTCTTACAACTCATCTTCTTTATAGTGATATAAATTAAGTACACTTTACACTTTTCTCTCTTATATGCCTTCAAGCCTCTTGTGCTATTGGTGTATCTCTTTTGGAAGTTATTAGAAAACTGAAATACAATATGTAAACTTACTTTATTTCTGAAACCACATCATAATTCATACCACATTATTAATTTAAATAGTGCAAAAGAGGGAGTATGCTCTTGAAATTATTTTCATAAAATACACTTTTTAAACATAGAGTCTCATTTTTCTTATCATTATAAAATGCTTCCTGTTTTCTAGTATTGACTCTTCTTTGTGGAAGCTTTAGTGAATAGGCATTACTATGTTGTAACAGGCTTGACTAGTGCACTAGTGAATAGTCGTCATTCAAACTGGGGAAAGGTTAGAACTATTGAGACAGTTTTAGGGAATGAAATAAAACAGTTTATAATATTCTGCTCTTGAAAATTCATAAAATTCATCTTGTATTTGAAATACAAAATAGCGATTTATGCATGCCAGATTGCCACTGTCATTTTTTGTATGATTTTAAAAAGAAACTCATCACCAGATTTTCAATATTATTTTGTTGACAAATTTCATTAGCATATTATTGAATTCACTTTAGAAGAATAAAACTTATTTCTATATGCCTTGTAAATAATGTTTCCTTCAGCTATTGTGACACATTGTTTTATCTGTTCTTAGCACCTGCTTTTAAGGTAAAACTTCAGGCTCTGTTATTTCCTTCCCTTTTTTGTGGAGGTGTTCATTTTGTTTTAGTTTTCTAAGTTCTAATGGATGACTCACATGTATAACTCCATTCCTTACTAAAGGCACATGACACATATAATAAAAAAAACTACTCTGTGTGTGTGTGTGTGTGTGTGTGTGTGTGTGTGTGTGTATGTGTGAATATGTGCATGCATATTCACTAAAAGTGTGTTTCTTTTGAATAACGGCTTGAGGGCAGAGTCTTTTACATCTCAATGTGAGAAGTCCATGAAAGACGTTGCAGAAAGAATGTAAAAGCCAGAGGTCATGAACTACTTCATGGGAATAGAAACTTGCAGACACAGCAGGGCTGTTGAATATATAAATTCAAGGTTTGATATCATGCATATAACAAACATGTGAAAGCTCAGGGCAGACCAAATATCATTATGTATGGAGAGTTGGCATAAAGTACTACACTGAACTGAGAAGCTATTTGACCTCATAGCTGCTATAAGGGTAAGACACTTAAAACTTTAAGAATGTGGCAGTAGGAATTAGTTCATATTCCATCAGGGACTTCACTCCAAAGAGTATTTGGGTAGCAGAAACTGAATTCAACGAGTTTTTCTTAATTTTTTTTAAATAGGAGAGAAAAAAAGTTAAGTAGGAAAGGAGAAGATTTGGGAGGGTATGAATATGATCAAAATGCATAGTATGAAATTCTCAAAGAATAGAAAACATTTCAAAATTTCAAAATTGAAGCAAACCTCGTCACAAATTTAGTACTAGGTATGGAAATTCTAGCTTTTAAAGATTTTTCTTTCCAATGAATTATGCTGTGAATATGTTCATGAACTATTCTTCTTCTTTTTTTTTTTTTTTGGTTTTTCGAGACAGGGTTTCTCTGTGTAGCTTTGTGTCTTTCCTGGAACTCAGTTGGTAGTCCAGGCTGGCCTCGAACTCACAGAGATCCGCCTGCCTCTGCCTCCCAAGTGCTGGAATTGAAGGCGTGCTCCACCACCGCCGGGCATGAACTATTCTTCTAAATGGAGATTCTATATTCCATTGAAGCTCTTATGTCTTGGTACAACTCTCAGTAACAGACTGATGGAACTGCTTTGAGGATGTTGTTTTATATACCGTTTCTAAGAATTATCGCAGAAAAATGGACATTATTCTATTCATTAAGGAAATTTGAAATTTTAGTTATGCTGTACAGTCAATAATTATATAGTGGGAATATCAAACACAAATTGCTAATTTTCTGTTCTTGCTGGGAAGAATCATTATTAAAATAACCTATCCTACATTTAGGTGAGTTCTAATCATTATTGAATTACAGTTAGGAAAACATCAAATTTGTGTACTTTATTACTATGTGTTAAATTATGTGGGGAAATAAAGCATATTGATTAGTACAGAGAAAAGGGGTTTCCTGCAGTAAACAATAGCTGAAATTGATCATAAAGTAAAACAATTATAAATTTCAGTGTATACTCTGCACTATTTCAAGACATGGTGATGCACATTTCATATCCTAAATAAGAGAAGGAATACATTACTCTGACTTCTCTCTAGATATTTTTCAGTTTTTAAGATAATGCAGAATCCTGTAGAAATGTGGAACCATTCCTGGAAGATTTATTCTTACCTGTCTCATTGGAAATCTCATTGTCTGCACAAGGAGTGCAATCATAGCAGCAAACAGCCTTGCCCTCTAGGGAAATTTTCCTGAATCCAGGCCCACAGCTCTCACTGCACACAGACTTAGGAAGCTGAGAAAAATGGGAGCAAAGTTACCAAATTCTCATGGTTTATTGAAAGTCTCAATAATATTTTTAATAACACATAATTAATTTGCAAGTTTTATTCCTATAAAAGTAGAAAATGAATTTGAGCATCTGTGATCTATTCAAAATTGGTCTGAGGATTATACCATTATTAGACAGTTTGGATCATAATGAGGTAAGGACAAGTTTGATGCAGGGAGGTCATAGAAGACATCACCTAGAAGGTCAAGTGGTCCTTCCAGATGGATCTTGTCTCTCTGCTTGCTTTCTAATGTGTTGAGAAACTTTTATTTCCACCATGGTTGTAAATCTTGCTTGTCAACATGACAGGACTTATAATCACGATGTAAACAAATTGTTGGGTATCCCTGTGAGTGTTTTTAAAGAGAAGTTTAAAGGGTTCACTCTAAGAGTGAGCATCACCATTCTATAGGCTGTTGTCTCAGAATTGAGAATGAGAAAAAGGTGATTCATGGTATTTGCTTTTTTCTATTTTTTCTATTGACTGATAATATGATGTCATCAGGAACGTCATGCTCCTAGAGCAATAAATTTCCAAAGATAAGGGCTGAAGGCTCATACTGTCATCCAAAAGAAACACTTGCTTAAGTTATATTAGGTATGTATGTATCTTCAGTAGCTGAACAAGAGATAACATACACATGTGCATGCTATAGTATTTCAATTCAAGGGGTGGATAAAAGAAATGGTAACTGTTTATCTTCTGTAATTTTAAGCATGGAATCAAGATGAACTACTCAAATTTTAGAAACAGTGAAGGAATTCTAATAGAGACATTGTGTATTGGTTTGAATGAAAAGTGGCAATTATAAACACAGATATGTGACTATATATTTCCTCAACGGTGGTGCTATCATGAAAAATATTGCAACTTTAAGAGTTGCAGACTTATTGGCAGAATGAATTCAGGGTTGGGGATTGTGCAAATTTATGACCCGATGTAGTGGGTAGCCATTCCAGCTTTGATCTGGAAGTTCCAACCCCCATTGAGACTTCGGCAACTGTCACGCCTACAAGGCAGGGCCAAGGGAGGCGCCGGGGGACCCGAGATCTGGATCGGCGGGTGCTCTCTCTGTTGCGGGACCCTGGACTGGAGAGGTGGACTGAGCAGAGCTCCAGAGAACACCGCTGGACTGTGATACACCTTCCCCAGACTCCGCGACCTACCTATTCCTTAATTTGTAAGTTACGCCATTAAATAAATCTCCTTTTAACTACGTGGAGTGGCCTTAATAATTTCACCAATATCTGGCGCCCAACGTGGGGCACGAACCCACGACCCTGAGATTAAGAGTCTCATGCTCTACCGACTGAGCTAGCCGGGCTGGTTCTTCGAGCCACTGATTGGCAGTGGCCAGGCAGGAAGTATAGGCGGGACTAACAGAGAGGAGAACTGAGAGAACAGGAAGCTGGGAGGGGAGACACTGCCAGCCGCCATCAGGATAAGGAAGATGTAAAGTACTGGTAAGCCACAAGCCACGTGGCAAGGTATAGATTAATAGAAATGGATTAATTTAAGCTGGAAGAACAGTTAGCAAGAAGCCTGCCACGGCCATACAGTTTGTAACCAATATAAGTCTCTGTGTTTACTTGATCGGGTTTGAGCGGCTTGGGACTGGCGGGTGAGAGAGATTTGTCCTGACTGTGGGCCAGGCAGGAAAACTCTAGCAACAACCCTCATCTAATTCCAGTATTCACTCTCTGCTTCCAGTGTGTGGACTGAGACATTTTGTTTCAGGTTCCTACCCATCTCTCCACGGATGCCACACACTGGCATGCCTCCTGAGTATAAAGGACACTTGAAACTCCAGAACCATAAGTCAGATAAACTCTTTTTTCCAAAAGTCACTTCTGGTGATGGTGTTTGATCTAGCAAGAAAATATAAATTATTCAGTGTTCTGTTGTGAATGTAGAGATTGTCTACATCAGAGTGTCCTGTGAGACATTACGAGGATTGCATATACCACTTCTCAGGTGTACTTAATTTGTGCCAGACTGACAAAATTTAACCCATGAACAACTGAATATTAGCAGACATTTAAAGCTTAAATATGTCCTTTTTTTAAGAATCAAGGGATCATAAAGCACTGTCTTCTTTAGTTAATTTTGTCTTTGTCCTCTGGGAATTTTATAGTACTGGGATTAAATTTCAAAAGTAGAAGTTGTTATACTGGGGGATATATTTGTATTATTATGTTAAGTTTAATGCATTGAGATAATATATAACCCACCTCTGAATATCTTTCTGGCCATCGTATCATCTTCTCAGATAAAGTCAACTGTTGACTCTGGGGAGCATTGGGCAAAAAATTTCCTACTTTCACTTTTAGTCCAAGACCCTTTGGAAAATTCCAAAAGTTGAGAATATCATACTTATCATCATCTAACTTCTGTTTCCATTCTAAAGCCATGTTGCCTCCCACATGGACATTCCTCAAGAAAGGATTAAGCTGAAAGTGATGCAAGAATATGTTTTAATGTAGGTCTGAGAGTTTGACCACCCATGGATTATAGAATAACTCTCAAAGTTCATTATCTGTGGTGTAGGACACAATACTAATGTAGGTGTCATTGAAGGTCAGCAATGGTGATCTATGTAAATGGGATACAATTCTACATCTGAGGAACAGTCAGCCTCAAGCACATCTCCTATTCAAACTTAGGAATGGAGTCAGTGAGTATTAATTGAAGCAAATCTCAATTTCTTTAAAAGAAAGCTATTTCCATTTACACACAGGGTTATCTCAAATTTCATTGAGTAAAATGTGGGTACTTATGACTAAATAGTAGTTAGAAGAAATCATTTATGTACCAATAACTTGGGATAATGAGCTTTCATTGTTTCACTGAGAAAATTCTTAGGTTTCTGGTGTAATCATTATAATGAAAAAAACTGTGCAGCTATTTGTGACACAATTTTTATATTCATTAAAATCATTTCCTCCTTGCCAATAGCAACTTATTCCTAAGCATCATGAACAGAAAATCTGCACTGACCTGGAAGATAGGATAACACATGAAGAATCACCTGTGGATGGATACACACACACACACACACACACACACACACACACACACACACACATACACATATGCATACATGTATGTATATATACATATAGTATATGTAAAATACTGAAATATGTAATATCTACTTTGGTGCCTCTCAAGACTCTCAAAATTTCACATTGTTGATGCTCTAATACAATGGAAGGAATATTACCTGCCAGGGGAAGAACACCATGCTTTCCCCATTTCCAAATGGTTGCATTTGTACTTGCTGAAGACTCATCTTATGGAGACCGTGGGCCACAGTATAGACAGCCTTGTATGTATTGTAGCTGTCTTCATTCATTACCATGTCAAAAATGTGTCTAGGCAGTAATTCCAAGGAAGCATTTGGTTGACAGTTCTCCAAAAGATGACAATCAAGCTCTGAAAATGAGCAGTTGAAGAACAAAAACCACAACTTAGGAAGGTAATTGTCTTCTGGGTATTTATAAGGATTAATTGTTTGGATAAAATTTTTAAATTCAGCCACCTGCTCATGGTGTTGTGAAAAAATGAGACTTCCATGGAATGAATCCAGCAAGAAATAATCAGCGATATTAGTAACATCCCACTCAAAGGTCATGACCCAGACTTTACTCGTCAAAATCTGTTGCCCTATGTTGCTCATTAAACCTTGTAGTGAATCATTGTCACCATAAATGATGATAATATTGGCCAATGTTTCCTGGATGATGCCAAGACTTTTCCAGTATTTGTATGATAATGAATTCAAGGTACTTTGGATCATTTCAATAAAAGCGATGCAGACTTGATTTTTCTCCATCTTTTCTCTGATATCTGCTAGAAACTGAGTCCCTCTATGATCATCTCGGATAAGCAGACCAATCCAGGTCCAGCCAAAATGAAGCATCAAAGAGACCATGGCAAGAGACAGAGTTGTGCCTTTGGGGGCCATCTGGTAAAGAGAAGTAAACTGACCTCGGTCACTGAAGATAGGCTCAAAAGGACCAACAGTGAGCTGAAGAGAAAAAAAATTGGAAATAAGAGAAAGAACAATGGTATTAAGCACAATCCTTGTTCTGCAGAAACGGATGGAAATGGTTAGCACAATGATGGATTCACCCTGATTGTAAAGACAAATTTCTGTGAGAGATGTTTTCAGTAAATGACTGGCCTATTTTCTATTTTTGTTAATCCTCCTTGTCTACTCCAACCTCCCTTTTCTTTTCCCAGTTCCTTAAATAGAGATCCATCTCCAACTGTCTGGACAATTGTCATTGATATCTAACTAATCCAAATACACCGTTTTACCTATGGACATACCTGAAATGTCAACAAAGGAGATCTGCATTTATATCCCATACACTCCTCACCTGTGGAAATTTGTAGAGCTGAAGCAGTGTCCCAATATGGGCAGATTTTGCCCACGATGGTCCTGTTATTGCAGCAGTTAACTTTCTCTCATTTACACAGTTATAATTACAGTAAAGACTCTGATGACTACTCAGGCCTGTGATCCAAAAAAAAGCATTCGTAAGAATGTTTTTCTCACTGTATGGGACATTATAGAAGTCAAATCCCAGAGATATGTTGGGTAAAAGATGAGGGTTCCTGTTGATCTCCTCAATGGCAAATACCAGGGCCAGAACCAACTGGTGTAATTTAAAATTATACCTGCAGAGATCGAGTAAAAACATACATGAGGGAATTACAGAACTGCAGATTCCAACTTCCAAGACTAAGGGACAGATTCCAGAATTCCTGAGTGCAGCTGGGTATTTCAGTGTTTGTGGAAACTGCACTGCCTCTATATATAAACACAAAGTAGGAAAACTAAGGCCCTAATCTTGACCGAGACTAAATGAAAGACATTCAAGGCTTTAAAAATATCTCTGAATTTAGCTCCAGCCCTAGAACTTCCACATGCCTCAAAACCTTTTCATTGCAAGTCCATGACACAAAAGACAAAGGGGTTTTACCCAAATGTTGGGACCATGGAAATTCCCTGTGATACATCAATCCAAATGACTGGACCCTGTAGCCATAGGATGGCCTTTCTGTCAAATATGTGTGGAGAGTACTGCTAGCTTAATAAAAGAATGCAATTGAGTTAAATGTGTTGAGATCTGACACTCACAGTATCTACAAAAATGAGATCTTCTACTGAGGAAAGAAATGAACTGTTAATGACTGTTTGACCCAGTATAATACTCTACTCTTGGCCCCAACTTGAGTTCAGTTTGTCATCAATCCAGTTATCCCTCTTGCCTGATGATGACCTACAGGTGCTCATACAAGACTGTCACCAGATAAAAGATGAAACCAGGAACATGCGAGATGCAATACTTACTTTTAATAAAATTATTTTTGCCTAAACCAGGAACCTCATTCCATTTAGAGGAACTGATTGACCTAGACCAGTATCTCATATGAGGAAAAGGAAAATCCACTACTATATACATGGACCATCAGTTGATATGATTTTACAAGTGGGTATGTCAACTGTGTGATCTATAGAGAAAGATGGCTTCATATGTTGATATTTTATTTGTATTAAAATGTTATTTGTATGTTAATAAATAAAGTTGCCCGGGGGTCAGAGCTATTAGCAAGCCATAGGAAAGCAGGGCAGTGGTGGCATATGCTTGTAATCCCAGCACTTGGTAGGCAGAGCTGGGTAAGTCTCTGTGTGTTCAGGGATACAGCCATTATTGGATACACATGCCTTTAATCTCAATACCTATCATGGAAAACCTGGAGGCCTATACAGACAGGCCGTGAGGAGGCGGTCATGTAGTTGGGTTTACAACCAATGAGAAGGCAGGACAGGAACTCTATATAAAGACTTTAACACAGGGGTAGCTCTGGTTTGGAGAGGTAGGACCACTGCAGGAGGAAGGGTAAGGTTTTAGCTCTTAGCTCTGACCTCTTGGCTTTCTTCTTTGCATTGGTTCTCTGTTTCTTATTTAATAAGAAGGTTGTTTACATCTACATTTGGCACCCAACATGGAGCCTGCCCTGCTGAACAGGGCCCCTGCCTGTAAAGCCAAGGCTTGACTTGGCTCAAGCAGCTATGCTTTCTCTCTCTCTCTCTCTCTCTCTCTCTCTCTCTCTCTCTCTCTCTCTCTCTCTGGATTCACACCTCGAACACCAGGTGGCTGTTTTGAAATTCCCTCGGACTCTACTGTTCTACCCAGACTTGGTAAGTCAATTAACATATCTATTTAAAAGAGAATTTTTTTCTACATTAAAAAAATGAGCTTTATGTGTACATTGGAAGAAAATTGTGCTTTGTTTGAAATTTTAGGCACTCTGACAATGGAACAACTATATGACAAGATTAATATTGATCAAATTATTCAGTTTGTTACATTTCTTATCCTCATTTTACTATTTAAAAAGATAGTCAATTTAAGTGTCAGGAAAACAGTCTTAGAAAAACTTGTTAAACCGGTAAAAATGAATTATAGAGAAATTCAAATTCAGACAGAAGAAATAAACAGTAAAGTTGTTTCAAAATTGGATCATAAGGTTACAGAAAGAAAGCCAGTTTTCACACAATTACCCTTAATTTATCTGGTAGCCATACAGCAGCTACTGATGAAGAGAATGAACAAAATACTTGGGTTCCAGTTAAAATGTTAGACTTAAGAAGATTTAAGGAGGCAATAGCATCTTATGGCATGCACTCCCCATATGTAAAGCAAATGTTAAACACCTGGTCAACTTGTAATAGGATTCTACCAAAGGACTGGCAGGATTAGGCACAGGCTGTTCTTGAACCCGGACAAAATTTCCAGTGGAAAATGTGGTTCAATAGTGAGTCTAAAAATATAGAAAAACAATGGAGGGATAACGGAATACAAGTCTGCCAGGATCAGCGTATTGGAGAAGGCCAATATGCTTCAGTACAAACACAATGTTTATATGATGTCCAAACCCTAGTTCTATGTTGAACAGAAGCTTTGAATGCATGGGACAGAGTTGAAGAACCAGGAAAAAAACTCAGTCATTTACAAAGGTTATACAGGGCCCAAAAGAATCTTTCACAGATTTTTTTTACGAAGATTGACTTCAGCAGTACAGAGAATGGTCCCGAATTCAGAGGCTAGTCAGATAATAATTGAATCTTTGGCCTTTGAGAATGCAAATACAGCATGCAAAAGAATAATCAGGCCATTAGGCAAGATCTGCACCTTTGGAAATTTGGATTAGAGACACAGTTAAAGTTGAGGTTTATGACCATGATGATATGTGGGTAGGAGAAGCAATTTCAAAAGGTTTGAGAAAAGTTAGATGTTTTGGATGTGGAAAGCAAGGACATTTGAAAAGGGATTGTAAACAGGTCATTCCTAGAAATAATGTTTCTTCAAGGAACACTGGCAACAGAATGCCCCTTCCTTCTGGTGTATGCAGAAGGTGTGGTAAGGGAAAACACTGGACCAACGAATGTAGATCAACAAGGGACAGACAGGGTAATCCTCTGCCTCGAGCTTCGGGAAACTCCCAGAGGGGCCTCAGGCAGGCCCCCACAGTAAATCCAGTTCAAACCATTCCTGCAGTTGTAGAGGAAACCCCTACTCAAAGCAACTAAATAACCAAATGTCTATTGGAATAAATCATGTTAGTCGAGATGATGAAACAGAGAAAATAGGAAATACAGGAAAAAACATAAAGAAAATTTTTTGGCAAACTTCTATTAATGAACAAAGACCAAAACTAACAATAAAAATAAATGGTGTTTTGTTGTCTGGTCTGGTAGACACAGGTGCTGACATTACCATAATTGCACCAGAATTTTGGCATCCAACTTGGCCTCTTGAGGAGGTAAACGTTCAACTGTTAGGAATTGGGACATTATCCCGAGTGAAACAAAGTATAAGATGGCTTGAATGTATAGGTCCAAAAGGACAGAAAGGAAAATTAAAACCATATATGGCTAACATAGCTATGAACCTGTGGGGTTGAGACTTGTTACAACAATGGAATACTCAGATTAATATCCCTCCAATCTCAGAAACAAATCATAAATTAGTACATGTTTCTGAGAGAAATATTAAAAGATATTATTCTAATGAGTGCTCACCAGCCATCCATGTCATACAAGAACAGGGCACAACAACTGATAATCTTCCAAAAACACTAATAGGTCTACCTTTAAAATGGTCAACAGACAAGCCTGTATGTGTTCAGCAATGGCCTTTAACAACAGAGAAATTCCAGGCTTTACAAGAGCTGGTGGAAGAACAATTAAATGCTCATCATATTGAAGAATCAACCAGCCCTTGGAATTCTCCTGTATTTGTTATTAAAAAGAAATCTGGTAAATGGAGAATGGTAACAGACCTTAGAGCAATTAACAAAGTAATTCAGCCAATGGGCTCTTTACAATCTGGAATTCCTTTGCCTACTCTGTTACCAAAAGGATGGCCTCTCATAGTTATTGATTTAAAAGACTGTTTCTTTTCAATACCCTTTCAAGAAAAAGACAGAGAAACATTTGCTTTCACAGTGCCTAGTTATAATAATTCTCAACTGGTTAAAAGATTTCAATGGAGGGTTCTCCCACAGGGAATGTTGAATAGCCCAACTTTGTGCCAATATTTTGTGCAACAGCCATTGGAAGTGATATGTAAAAATTTTCCTAAATCTATAATTTATCATTATATGGATGATATTTTATTAGCTGACTCAAATGCAGATACTTTAGAAAGAATGTTTGAAGAAGTAGAGAAAATTTTGCCTTGCTGGGGATTACAAATTGCTCCTGAAAATATACAAAGAGGAGATTCTATTAATTATTTAGGATATAAAATAGAGCTACAAAAAATTAGACCTCAAAAGGTACAAATTAGGAGAGATCAACTACAGACGCTTAATGACTTTCAAAGATTATTTGGAGACATTTCTCATCTAAGAACTATTGTTGGGGTCAAAAATGATGAACTAAATAATTTGTTTAAAACCTTAGAAGGTGAAAAGGACATAAATAGTCCAAGAGAATTATCACCTGAATCTGAAAAGAATTGGCCTTGGTAGAAAAGAAAGTACATGAAGGGCACTTAGATCATATTGATCCAAAGCTGGATTGCATTTTGGTTATTTTACATTCTAGGCATTCTCCTACAGGAATATTAATGCAAAGGGAAGATATTATATTGGAATGGATATTTTTACCAAATAAACCAAATAAAAAATTAAAAACTTATGTGGAAAAAAATCTCTTTTACATATGTGGGTGCCCTTGTGTTTGGGGCATAAATGTTCAGAATTGAGACTTCGTCTTGGTGGATCTTTCCTGTGATGAGTATGTAATGCCCTTCTTGATCTCTTTTGATTGATTTTAGTTTGATGTCTATTTTGCTGGATATCAGGATGGCTACACCCGCTTGTTTCTTAAGATAATTTGATTGGAGAGTCTTTTCCGAGCCTTTTATTTTTAGGTACTGTCTATCTTTGAATTTGAGATGTGTTTCTTGTATGCAGCAGAAAGATGGGTCCTGCTTTCGTATCTATTCTGTAAGCCTATGTCTTTTTATAGGTGAATTAAGTCCATTGATATTGAGGGATATTAATGACCAGTGATTGTTCATTCCTGTTATTTTTTGGTGGTGATGTGTGTGTACTTCTCTTCATTGGGGTTTACTGTTGTGGCTTTATCTATTGCCTGTGTT